TTCTGGGTATTTTGGAGTAATGTTTTTCTCATTCCAGTGATTTTACGAGTTACAACTAGTGGGTGATACTTAAGTATGTGTGTATTATTTTAGAGATCATGGTTCAATTTGTGTTATTTGTATATCGGAATACATAATACTATGATCCGAAAAAGCACAGTAATAAATTTTATTGACATGAAAAAGGTTGACAGTAAACACCCGTAAGAAAAACTATGTATAATTAATGTGAGAAACTAGTAGTGAACATGAAAGCAACAAACGAAACAAGTGTAGCAACATATTTGAACATGAGAAATGCGAGTGACTAAAAGTCGTGGTGTAAGCCCATTGTGATCAGTATCTCAAGCACAATGAATGATTATAGAGCAGCACTCTCTAGGAATATGTAACCTTTGGTTTACTCCGCGTAAGAATTTCAGAAATGACATCCATGAAATTCCCACCTTGCAATTCTCAGAATGGTCCGTTGATGGTCCTAAAATGCGGTGCACATCCTTGTAAATCACCAAAGGATTTCCGCGATTATCAAGGTACTGGTTTTGTGCCCGAAAATGAAAGCAGGTGTGGTTATTGATCGACTGTAATAAAGCGAGCAACGGAAAGTGCTGAAACCCCTCAAAAACGCACACTCATCATCGTTACCTGCCTGTTGAGACTGCATCCTTCTCTCTGATCACCTCTTCGTGCTAATGAAAAGGAAGAGCTGATCAAAGAGAAAGGCGCAGGCTTCCGCTCGTACGATCGGCCAGCAGTGTGCGTCAAAATTTCTCAGCAGTTTCTTATATTCTCTAAACCACTAGTACTGGATCACTACCTTTATTTTTGAGCAATCCAGCTGTCACTGCATTACAGGCTCAAACTTATGTTCAATGCAGATGGTACCCTTCGATAAACGGAATAAAATTGAGTGTTAATTGCAAGTTTTTGGTAAACAGCTCTTTTAGCTGAAAAGGAGAAATCGGAAAGCGGTCATGCGGGTGGCGAATAGCGGGAAAAACTCCTAGGCTCTCCCTTACATTATGGTAAATGCCGCAAGAGTTACCTTCCCTTCAAAAAGCGAGAAAGTGTCGGGTGCAGACCATAACACCACAAGTGACGACGGCCTCCAAGTAAATCTGGTTAGTAGTGGTTCATAGTGATAGCTGATTTTGGTAAATGATAGTTGTAATTAGTGACAACTGATAGAATACAACTGCAACAGGCTAATCATTTCATTGGCAGAAAACATTTACATTTTGTGGAGGCCGTCGTCACTTGTGGTGTATGGTCTGCACCCGACGCTTTCTCGTTTTTTGAAAGGGAGGGTACCTGGTATGACGCTAAATCATTTATAACTTTTATCAGAAAATTGCTAAATTAGCTTGTGGAGCTCAAAAGGTCTGGGCTTAATATTTCGAAAGAATGTTCTAAAGGGAGGGGAACAAGGTTTGGAAAATGCTTGTAAGCCTGGGAAAAGAAGAGAAACAACGTTTCCAATAAAGAACATGAAGGTTCGCAACGCTTATCGCTCGAAAACGATGCCCGTGAACCATCAACTTATTGCACCACTTGCTGTAGGTACTTTGATTCAGGGTTAAAAAAGCGCCGCAACGTACCATTCGAATCTCACGAGCGAGTGTCCTTTCGTGACGCATTATTTAATCGCAGAGTCATTTGTTTGAAGTTGCGTAAATTTCCGACTTCTCTAAACATTGCTGCCACAAGAGGGGAGTCGCCATGTTCTAGTCCGTTTATCACGTTTCTAAAATGATTTTTTGAGCAAAATGCATAACAAGTCTCGATTGAATCTGGAAGTAAATTCCATTCAAAAATTACCTTGTTTCTTGTGAAAACTCCTTAGCGAAGAAAAATAGCACTTCAGCCAAATACTCGACAGTAGGACGCAAGAGCTCGACTTGGATACGAAGGAATATTGTCTGAAATGGCCACACTTGGGTCCCCTCAATTACATTTATACTAAGTCGATGACGCGACCCCATGGGTCAGAAGTGGAGGATGCGTCCAAGACGTAGTGATCTAGGGGCCCACCCCAGCCGTATACTGACGCCTACAACCCCTAGGGTACAATTTTCGCCAACTCCCTGCACACAGTTATAGCATATCCAACTCCCTCTTCCAAAAATGATTCCCTATACCTGAATGACATCTGCTCCAGACAGGGCCTATGCCCCCTTCCCCCTACTTGGAACATTGGCCCACGCAATACTTTACCATTCTAGTAGTGTGTGAGTTTTTTTTTACCTTGACGAGTACCGGCCCATGACTGGCAAGAAGAAGGCGAGGTGCTTCATCTCCATAAGAAGTAGACTGACTTGCAATCACAGCTAACACTTGCGACGCTAGTCGAACAACGCAAGGCTCTCGTGATTCTGCTAATGTCTAAAAATGTCGTCGACACGGAAGGTGAAATAAAAATTAGTAACTACAAGTACCAGGAGATTTTACTAACAATAAGACTCTAATAATAATACAGTAACCGCTCACCTGACCAGCAATTAGAATTGCATTCGAAATAGTCGGCAGTGAATTCTCTCCATTGGCGCGCAGCGTTTTGTAATTCTTTTTGAACAATCTGAAACTCATTTTTGTGAGAGTAAATGACTTCGTAAAGGCGCGAAGGAAGCACTGCAAAACAGACCTGGTATATCAACGAAAGCCACTCCTCAATTGCGTGAAAAGGCATGCTGCGAACAAAGGACTCTAACCATTGTCGTATAGAGGTACACAATTGCGATGTAGTTGGGGCGTGATGTCCGAAAACCTACGAATAAAAGGAAATCGAGTAGCAAAGAGACAATTTGCCTTCATACATAGCTCACTAAATTACTGTTTAGGCGTTTGACTAGAGGCTCTTTCTTCAACATGGAACTGATAGGAGGGTTCGTATCTGAGGTATTTTTTAAAGAGGTAGGAAGAAGAATAAAATAGAATTGAGGGATTTTTTTGAATGGCCTGAAAATTTTCATGTTTCGTTAAATATTGAGAAATTCATTGAAATCTCAT